CCAACCCTGAATTATGCACTATTCACGCGATGTTTTGCACCATATGTGTTAGGTCAGAATCAGACTATGCATTGAAGATAAAAAATTGAAATTTCACCAATGAGGACAAAGAAATTCTGGCTCCTCTTGTTCTGATTGGTCAAACCTCAATCTTTCGATCTTCAATCTCATTCTTCAATGCGTAGTCTGATTCCGGCCTACATCGCAAAAGTTTTTCTTTAATTAAAATGCTGTATAAGGAGTTAGGAAATGAATGAACGATTATAAATCCTTGGTAAGTCTCAAAATATACAGAGTGTTTGATAATTAATGCAAATCTTTTGCATAGGGGCAAAATGGACTAAACTGAGAAGAAAAGTCCTCTACAATTTTGCAATTTTTGCAACAGTTAACAAGATATTAATTGCTAAAAATTGCCGAAAATTGGTTTTCAATAATTTTTTACTCAAAAACTATCAACTTTACAGAAAAACTGTTAGAGAAAAAAATAAAAAATTATTTATTTTCTTCTCATAAAGTTTTGAGAATTTTTTTAGAATTTTTTAATACCGTATTTTCTCATGTTGGTCAAAATAAGAAAATGCAATACTAAAAAATTGATTAAAAATTCTGAAAAAATTCTTAGAGCTCTATGAGAATATAGTAAACAATTTTTGTCTTTTGCAGGTTTTCTGTAAAGCTGGTAGTATTTGAGTAAAAAATTATTGAAGACTAATTTTTGACAATTTTTAGTAATTAATATCTTGTTAACTATAACGAAAATTGTAAAATGGCAAAGGACTTTTCTTTTCAGTTTAGTCCATTTTGCCCCTATGCAAAAGATTTTTCATTAATTAGCAAATACCCTGTATATGTGAATAATACATACTTTCGTGCACTTTTCTGGAAATATACATAAATTCAGCATTCGTATGGTATTTCTTTTGGTTCATAAATAAATTAGTTACAATTAAAAAATTGATTTACATATTTTACGGCTTTATTTTTCCAAATAAACTGTTTATACAGGTACATATGTTTGAAAATGACCGCGTTCTGCGTCAAGATGGAGGCAAGTTTGCGGTATTTTGTTATCTAGTAACTTTAGCATCTATGTTTTCGCGCGTGGCTAATTTAAATAAAAAAGATTTCATACAACGAATTGAAAATTTTATGATCGAAAAAAGAAATTTATTAAATTAAAATTAATTATACATGTTTTTAAGTATCATATAATCGTGCTTGTTTTTTTCTTTTACATGTTTTTTTCGGTAAATCATTATTTATTTGGCGTGAATATTGACGCATTCGCATCGTTACATAATAATAAATACAATAACTTGTTACGTCTAATTTATGATCATTGCATGGAAATGTGATAATGTAATTATTTATCACATCATCAATAGTTTGTTCGTAAATGTTAAAGACATGTAAGTTTTTTCTAAAATAATATTCAGTTGTTTGAAAAAGTGCGTATAGCATGTGATTAGGATGTATTGGTCTTCCTTGAGATTTTAAGTTTACTAATTCTGCTTCTGGTGTAGAATTTGCAAGCTGTATGAATGCTGTTTTACATGTAGAACAATCAGTTCGCTTTATCATTTTTTTTGCAATAAAATCCGAGACATAATAAATCATGCGATCAAGTACAGGTGTTAATTCATAATCTTCTTCAATAATATCGTCGCATTTCCACTGTAACGTTTCAATAAATCCGTCTAATTGACGATGTTTTATAGTATCTTTAACAGCATTCTCCTTCAGTTTTCGCCTCTGAAGTGCTTGAACTTTCACATGCTTTGCAGCTCTTAAAGCTGTTACTCTTTTCTTAGTTGTAGATGTAAGTATTATTTTTCCAGTGCTTTTCTGATGCTTTTTACGGTCAACGTTCCGTTGCAAAGTCTTGTGCAATGATACACAGAATTTACATATTTGTTCTCCAGAAGTTTCTAAAGGACATTTTTTATGTCGCCAAGTACTTGTAATAAAATCCTTTGTAGAGCATAACGGATGAATTTCCTTAAAACGTGGTTCCTCAATACCTGGTCCTCCTTGACACAAAGTTGTACTATGAGCATGTTCAATAAGTAAATTGATATCATCCAAATTTTGTAATATATGTTGATATGACAATACTTCTTTCCCCAGAAACAATACTTTATATTGTAAATCAGGGAAAAGTATAATCTAGAAAATATAATTTAAATTTTTTATCGAAAAAACATTATCACTACGTCAAACTATTCATTATTGTACCTGTTTCATAATTATCATGTTTCCTGTTATACATTTACATGCTTGAGTAAACAATATTTGAAATGGTGACTCTAAACTACGGTGTATTCCCCAGGTTACATCAGGCAAACAAGCTTGTACTTTGCCATTCAATATTTCTTGAAATATTTGTTGGTTTTCACATATATAGTTATCTGAAATATAAACTGCAATAAGAAGATAACTTAATATAACTTATAATTTAATTTATTACCTTGTTCAGAAATTATATCCAAATTTAAATTAGATGTTGTTGGTTCAGTGCATGGTATAAATTCAATGATTGAACATGCGTAATTACATTGTGTTTTATTCAATTGATCAATTTCAACGTTGCTTTCAAGATGTACATTTACATTTTCTTTTCTTTGTGATTGTGTAACATTAAATTTATCAACTTCAACGTTGTTTTCAAAATGTACATTTACGTTTTCGTTTCTTTGTGAAATAAAAACTGGATTAGCCCCACATTTTAATTTTTTTTTTGTAAATTCTTTCTAAAAAATAAATTTATTGTTATTTTAAAATCTATTATAAAGCATCTGTAATAAATATAAAAAAAATATGATTTATAACATATACGTACCTCAAATATTATTTTTCCTTCTGCATCTTTTATGACTTTTTTTGTTAAAATATTATCACCTTCAAAATGATTTTCACATAAAAAGAAAATTTTTGGTATCTTTAGGTTAGGAAACACATTGTGAATTAAACTTATCCAAGTATTACGACGTCCTTCATTCACAGGCACTTTAAACAGCGATTTTTTTTTTAATTTTAGATATACACAATTAGGTATTATACATTTAGTAGGCATGATTAAAAAAGAATGAAATACAATCAGTGCACCGTCAATCAGATAAAATGTAAGTAAATTATTGGTAAATTATCCGTATCTTCTTTGTGCGTTATTTCGCAATGCACGACCAATACGACATCTGTAGTCATATGATTGAACTTCTTCATTTCGAGCATCACATTTTCTATTGAAATATGGCCGAGTGGATACACCTTATATTCTGTACTTAAGACGCTCTTGAATATAAAAATCAACTATGAATACCGACCTTAATTTATCATTTTGCGTCGAGTATCTGCGCAGAAGATTATTGCACATAAAGTTCATGCGCAATAATCTACGGTCAGAGAGCTGTAGGGTTAACATCAAAGCATAGAGAATAGACTGCGCGATCTCCGTGTGTGAAAATGGTCGATAGGGATGAGAGAGAGGGACCGTGGCAGACGGAGACGGCCATTTCTATCTCTTTCCATTCAATGGTGTAATGGGAGAGAGAATGAGAAGGAGATTGGCCGTCTCCCACTGTTCCTCTCTCTCATTATTGTCGACCCATTTGAGGTGTCGTCTACAATACACGGAGTAAGAAGTAAGAGTAAGAAATTGACCAATCACAGTCGAATGTGAGAAGAATAATCGACTGTGATTGGTCAATTTCTTACTCTTACTTCTTACTCCGTGCATTGTAGACGGGCCTTTATACACTACTTAGATCACGCAGTCCATTCTCTATGTTTTGATTAGCATCATAAGAATATTATAGCGTTTTTCATTGGCAAAACTAGCGCGCACTCAGTGCACATTAAAGCTGTTGTACACTATTCTAATCTAAATATAAAAATGAGATATCTCAATTGATAAAATGCCCAAAATTTATTTTATCAAATAGCACAAAATATATCAAATATTTCACGGTGTAATTCGTTTATATATTTTTGTTAAACGTATATCTTTACATCGATTTTTGTACAACGGCTTTAAAGTGCACTGAGTGAACACTAGTTCTGCCAATGAAAAACGCTATTAGCTTAACCAAAAATTAAAAAAGCATTTTGAAGCTCGAAGTTTATACATTAGCATGCTCTTGATTGTCTTCAAATTTAATTCTGCAGAATTGAGGAGATAAAAAATTTTTGCAATAATTTTTCGCCGAATTTCAACGTTCGTTGTAAGAAATGCAAATTTAGCTTCAAAATGGCATAATTCGATCAAGAAAAAGTATAAATTTTGAAAAAAGTATTTAAATTTATGAAAAGAAATAATAAATATTAGGAATGTATATGTATATAATAAAGAACAATATTATATTATTCAAAATTTCAAGAATTTTCCAAAGAATATGGTAATTTCGAGTATTCGATTTTCAAATTGTGAAAGTTAATGCCCGTTTCCCACCATCTCGATTCAATTTACTCTTCATATTTTTTTATAATTTTTACAACTAGAAAAAGATGAATCGAAATTAAAGTCTACATTGGTGGAAATGGGTATAAAGGTGCTTCTTCATGACAGTCGGAATTTCAGAAGTTACACAATCAATCAGGATCATTTAAGTTCAGCACGTTATACAAATGATTCTTATTGGTCATGACTTTTTCGGAATAAAGAGAAAATAATTAGAAATATTATATTCACTGTTAGCAATCACATTTAAGTAATTTTTTACCAGTAATTTTTTTTTTCAAGAAATGAAAACTGAATACGGCAATCAGTTAAATACACTTATTTTGACCCTCGTATTACGGAATTTTTAAGAGGTGGGACCACACACGAAGGGTTAGCTACATATATAATCGGTAAAACGATTAAAATATTTAAAATGCCGCATTTTCTGAACATTCATTTATTTTTTACATTTGCATACAAAATACAATAAAATTCAATGAAATTTTGCAATCTCTGAGCCTAAAAATATCCGTTTTGTACGTCTTATATTATAATTAAAATAAAACTTAATAATCATAATATTAATTGCATTCATTTAAATTAGATCATAATTGGTTTTGCATGTTCAAAGATAAAAAATAAATTATTTAATTGTAATTAATGTAATTGACTAATATTATTTTATAAAAATCTGTATAAAATTAATTATAAAATAATAGCACATATCAATGAGTCTTATGTTAAATGTAACTTTAATCATTTCGTGCTTACTTTAAAATATGGATACATATATTAATCATAATTTTCCATTATGAAACCAAATTGAAGATAAATGATCGCATACATTTGCATTAAGTAACATAGGAACTAAGCGGTGTAACATCTCAAAAGCAAGAACATTAAAAAAAAATATTGAGTAATACATGGCTCAGATAATCTACATGTATCGTCTATTATCATTTTTATGATCTAATTAATAAAATCTGCAAAAACACACTAAACTCTCACATCACAACAGGCAATTTTGTTTAATATATAGTGCTAGTTAATATCATACAAAATCCATTAAGCATATCATCATCAGCAGTTTGTGTATGAAAATACATCTAAACTTTCAAGGTAATAAATAAAAATTGCACGTTTATTTTGGTCAGAGAGAATATATGCATTTTTAATTAGTTATCATTTGGAGTGTAGATGTTCTTCTTCATCATCACTGTAATCATCACTTAAATAATGATTATTTTGTGAAAACTCAAAGCGTCCTGTTTTCTTTGGTGGTGGACTGTAAGAGAAAGATAAGATATATAAATTAAGATATAGTTAAATATATATATGTATGAGATTTTCACAGATAGTATATTAAAAAAAAAAAACAAACAAACCTTGCCTGATCTTCATCATGGCTGCTGTTACTACTACTTGGGCTACCATCCCTTTTCGGACTCGCTGGTGGAGATAACGCTTGCATTAAGCGTCCTTTACCTTCATTCCAAATTGTTGACTACAAACATAAATAAAAAATTCCAATATATCTTTATATAATTTACATATGAAAAAGGATATTTGAAAAGCACACGTCTGCAAACACACGTCTGTGTGTGTGTGTGTGTGTGTGTGTGTGTGTGTGTGTGTGTGTGTGTGTGTGTGTGTGTGTGTGTGTGACACATACATACCAATCTGCCTTCTCTTCCGAAGAGCAGGAGGAAGGCATCAATAAAATCCCGAGATTTCTCTTCCCATTTGCTTATCATATCCATTCGTTTCTCACCAATATTTTCCATTACTCGTTTCCCCTTATCTTTTAGGTCATCAAACTTGTTTTGTAGGCGAAACTTTTTCTCCTGTAAGATTTTATTTTTTATAACACATTTGTTGTAACTAATTTTTACTTATTACTATTTTGCGTATTTCTTTCAATATAATCATATAACATTTAAGTTCAATAATGTAAGTATGGCAAATGACTATTAGGTAATGATTCATAATCACTTACATTGAGAAAAGACACATTAAGTTCCTTTGCACTGTAGCCTCGTGCGAGATTTCTCCTGACGTATATGTCATAATCTTTAACTATCCTCGCAACTATATCTGACGTGGAAACCCCTTCTGTTCTCTGTGTGGCTACAAACATACCTTTAGCTTTTAATTTAGCATAAACGTCTGATGAATCATCTGTCACGTATGGTATATCGTCATGAGCAACAAAGTCTATCTGTAATACAACATAATTCATGCAATTTCTATGAAATAAAACGTACAGCATTTGATTATATAAATTTAAAGATATATAAATATGAATGTACCTTGTGCTTTTTTATAAATTCATCATCTAGTTCCCAGGGTGCATCTCGAACAACCTCATCTACGTATCTACAATGTCTAACAGCATCATACCTTTCTAAATCAGTCATTACAGTTCTTCCTTTTTTGCTATGTGTTAATTCATCATTACACACTGTAAAAGAAATTATTTGATTGATATATCATAAGTATATTTATATTTTATTTTAATAATAAACAAAAACAAAGTATAATAAATGTGCTATAATAAAGTTTTCCTAAATAATTTTGTATAGTTACCTCCAACAATAAGATAAACATTTGGAAAAATATTTTTAGCCTGTAAAAGTTGCCGTGCATGTCCTTGGTGGAAGAGATCATAAATACCATCGGCATAAACTCTAATTTTTCTAGGAACTATAAAAAAAAGGAGATTTAAATATTAATATGTAAAAATAAACATTTTTATAATATTTAATACTTTTAATAAGAATCTATAAAATATACCTTTGCCACTTCTTGCTTGTTTTAAGGTAATTCGCGTGTTATAATCGCATGCATTCCTCTCCACGATAGCATCTGGATCGTCACTAAAAGGTGCTTCTTTACAGATTGACTAAAATAAATGAGAAGATAATATATTAACAAGATAATAAATATCTATTCAATAAAAAATAAAGAGCTGACGTTTTATGTAAAATTATGTAAATAATGATGTATGTGATGTTAAAAGAAAAAAAAATTTGTCATATTTCTTAATTGTTACGCTATCATGATACATTGTCTTTATCATTTATTAATTCAATTTATTATATCACATAATAATTATTTTTTAACACATAATTCATGTAAAAAAATAAAACTTACTGGTAATCTTTCCTGACAAACAGAAATTTGATCATTATAGTCCTTTAGAAACATTAAATTTGCACCGCTACCTCCGTTACAATTCTGCTTGGATCCCCAAGTCATTGTTTGTTTAATACACTTC